AAAAAAAAAAAAAAAAAAAAGACTAAATAAAATAAAAGGACTGCGGATGTAGCTCAGTGGCACAGCACTTGCCTAGTATGTTCCAGAACCGCGTGTGCACACACACACACCCCAACACTTTAAGGTTCAAGACTGCGGTCTGCTCTGATCTCTGTGCACTGGGCCACTCAGTCCTCCCTGACCAGGGGCTGAGATCCAGGTACCCGAAGCTTTGCTGTTTGTAGCCCTGGATCCTTGGGAACTGGGAGGGCTGAAGCTGACACGGTCCCACTGCAAAGGGGCCTTCTGCCTAGAGACCCTTGCCCCAGGCAGCTAGCTACTCGGGAGGCTGAGACGGGAGACTCACTGCGAGCGCATGGCCAGCCTGGACTACATAGCGAGACCCTGTCTCTAACTAAATGATTAAACCACCAGGAGAAGCCCCAGGAGGCCGTGCTGCGGTCACACCCAGGCTGGGGACACGGCCTGGACACCTGGCCCAGGTGTGGGCCCAGACCCCACTGGGCTCCACACCCAGGAGAGCAGGGGGTGACTTTTTCTCTGCAAGGGCCTTGCCTGGCTGCACAGTGGCCCCAGGCTGTGTGGGGCAGCAGCTCAAAGGCAAGGGGGACTGGTGACATCAGGCTTAGTAAGACCTGTCCCTGACCTGCCTGGGCCTGGCCACACTATGGGGCCATGTGGGGTTGAGTCTGAGAACACCGGCTGGCTCCAGCCAGGGAGAGCTGGGCTGCAGTCACCGGCTGCAGCAACCCCCTGCTCTCTATCTCCATCCTGTCACTCTGCCCCTGGAGGCGGAGGCAGCCCTGTGGGGCCTCAGTTTCCTTACGTGTGCATGCAAGTTCTCATTGCTGCTACCCATAGGACGCTTGCTGCGCGGGCAGGTGCCAGGTGAAGGGCTGTGTGTGTGTCTCTCATAAAACAGAACGGTTAGCTGGGCGTAGTGGTGCACGCTTATAATACCAGCATTTAGGCGGCTGAGGCAGGAGGATTGTTAGTTCGAGACCAGCCTGGGCTACAATATGAGCTCAAGGCCAGCCTGAGCTGCATAGCAAGATCCTGTCTCAAAAAGACAGACAGACAGACAGACAGACAGACAGACAGACAGACAGACAGATTGTCTGCACTGCGTACCTGCAGGCCAGGGAATGGTACAAGGTCGCACTGAGACCACGTGCCTGGTCCAAGGAACTGTGATTGATCAGCATCACCTTCACTGGTGGCAGCAAATCTTCATCTTCTTTTTTTTTTTAATTTTATTTATTTATGTGTGTGTGTGTGTGTGTGTGTGTGTGTGGCCAGCTCAGCCCACCAGGGGGCAGGGCTGGCTGGCATGTGGTGCTGGGGATT